AACTGGAAAAAGAGGAAAGCAGAAGATCTAAATGTTGATTATTAATAGATATGGAAGAGAAAATCAAGAAATTTTAAAGCAATAAGATCTTCATGTTTCTCTCTTTCTTTCTTTTTTGAATTTTGCTCACCTTTTTTTTTTTTGACAGCCCATCCTCCAACCAAACACTATAATATTCTATATAGTCTCCGACCATTTACCTGTATCGAGTCCAAAGTTTCATGCAGCATTCTTGGAAATTACTTTTTCAAATTTCTTCAATATAGCTTTTGAATAAAATTTGTTTTTCAATATTTGATCATATGACAAAATAACATGGTTTTTCAAGTAATTCAAGATCAAATAAAAAGGCAAATTAAAGCAAATTGAATCACGGATATCAACTATTCACTTCGGTCAGTGATTATTACTTATATTCATGTTGAAAAATAGCACTAGCATAGAATCACCAAACATCGATGTGTTAAGTAACTTATTTTTTAGACTAGTTTTCTTTTACTTATAACAAAATAACCATACTCGAACAGTACCACAATTCACAAACAAGTTTTAGATGCTTTGATGCAACCTTTAAGTCAGATTTAAGATATGTATATATAACAATAATCATAATAATATTATGAACCGTTTAAGAACTATCTACATATATCAAATATCATACTAGTGATGAAAGTTACCCCACCAACAAACAAAAAAAGAAGAACTAACTTTTGGGGTTTAACATAAAAAAGAAACATACAGTTCTTCTCTTAGCCGTTCACTATCCTTTGTGGGCTGACAATGGAGTCTTCCCTCCTGCAGCAGCATGTCGCAGATTCTCTGCATAGAGTGTTTTACTATTAGTAAAAATTGCTTTAAAGTTTAAAACATTTACTTAAAATGTTTAGTCTTAAAGAAAAACACTTGCCTCGATGCCTCTCAAGTTCTTCATAGAGTTCTTCTTCCCATTTCCGACGTATCTCTGAAAAACTGAGGAAGAAGGATACATTAACGCTAAATAAAAAAATAAATCAATTTCAGGCTTTAAAAACGGTAACTTTAGCACGAGCTAACTCACCAACGGCTATTAGTTACTCCCTTCTTGGTCGACTCATTGACTTGAGTTGGTTCAGTTCCTGGCTGCATCACTCTGCTTGTGTTCAGTGTACGTTTGGAGCTTTTGAGCGGGCTAGGCATAGCATCACTGATTGCTGAGAGTCGTCTACTCGGAAGTCGTTTAGGTGACTTGCTTATAGTTGGTAGGTTTGGTAAATTGTAGCTATTGGTGTCTCCAAGTGCACCTTGTGGTGTTCCTGGTTTCATAGCATTGTGGAATTCTTCAAGCAGAGGGGTCTGCAACCTTTTCAAATCCTGAGCCTTGACAACAGACAAATCAACAAAAAACACAAGTGACCAAGATTCAGATATCAATCACAAAACCTCATTTTTGTAGCAGAATTGCATTTAAAAATTCCAGGTAGACCAGGCAAAGAAGAGCCACAGTTGCAGAGGAGATAATTATGACATTGGAGTATTGAAATTGGAAAGGGGTATAGTACACAAAGCATGAAAGCCAGAGTTCAACGTCACTATGTCCATGTTTTCAACATTAACCAAGTTTAAGATGTTTTCTTGCTTTAAAGTTCCAAAATTTCCTATTTACCAGGTCTTTTAAGTTCAAGTTTAGTAAATGAATCTGAGCACAATAGTAACTGATTTCACACCTATGTACTACAAAAAGGTCTTACCTTCTCATCCAAAAATGATTTTATTTTCAACTCTGTTGCTTTATAATCGTCCTCTGCAACGGAAGAGCCACCAGCAAATGTTAAGCTGGTTTCCTCATCACATGGAACCCCAGTTTTGAGTTCAGCAGCTTGGTAAGAAAGCAGGTTAGATTTGCTTTTCATCACTTCTGGGCTTTCATCAAACTTGCAAGACCAGTTATCCGTTGAATCACACATGGGATTAAAACTCTGTTGAAAGTCAAAAAGTTCCTTCCCTGTCAGTCTAACTGTAATCAACAGACATGTTTTAAAATCTGGAGGATAGATTTATCACCTTGTTTAAATCGGTGGATTGTGACAAAACGTTGTTTCTGACTGATTCAATGTTGCAGAGATCATCCATGTCGGTCTGACAAAGGTCATCAGAGTCTCCATCTCGCCAACCGAATCCTGAGTTATTTGACTTCTGTGGGTATATAATGGAACTCCTCAAGCTTCCCAGTTCACAGACATCCTTCAAGCCTGAACAGGTTGACCTCCTGATCAACGAATTTATTCTGGCACAATAGGGTAAGTAAAATAAGAATCAAGGGATCAATATCATGGATAGTAAGAAAACTAGAACTGCAAGAAAAAAAACTTACGAACTCCTAACATTCACTCCTTCTGTAGTTATTGGGTTCCCGCATTCCTGATATATTAGAAAGGAGGTCAGAAGGTTGAAGAACCAGAATAAAGTTTACTGCATAATATACTAACCGTAAGTAAATTACGGTAAGCTGAAAGAGATTCCTGGCGCTTTCCAGTGACAAACGGGTGCTGCAAATGTTAAGCAGCTGTCAGCACTAGGAGCAACAATAATAAATTAGTATTGTGCATTGAGAGTAAGGACCCTTTTCACAATTGTGAGAAATGGAGAAGATATGTGATTCACAACACCTGAATCAATTCGGTTGCAGAGAGTCTCAAGCTTGGTTCTCTGAAAGATAATTTCTCTTATAAATAGAACAGCAGATATAGATGCTATCTTGAAATAGAATGGTGGACATCGATCTTTACAGGAGCTATCTTTAGATAAAGAGAAAAACGAATTGGGAAAAAACTTAGACTTACTTGTGTAAGCATTTCAAAAGAAAGTCTTTAGCCTCTGGTGAGAGGTCTTCTGGAATTGGAGGATGAGCTTTTGTTCTACCAATATGAAGTACAGCAGCAAACTGGAAGAAACGCTTCTTAGTTATTATTAGGTTTCTAAAATAAAAGACGGCGTCATTTGCATCAACAATATTGGAAAGTGTCCTTCACCCAGTGGATCTCTTTACCTGCTGATACTGCTCGCTCCAGGGAGGCTTCCCTGTAGCCATCTCAATCACAGTGCACCCAACACTCCATATATCAGCAGAGCTTCAGATTTCAAGAAGAAGGTCAGAATGAAAGTTGCAATACAAAGGGGAATATAGATGAGAACCCATTCCCACTACCTAGAACATGTTTAATCTATCATCTCATGAAAAGATAAAAGCTAAAAGAAAGTAAGAGATGGGGGAGAAGAATATAACTAGTAGGGTATTCTAGAAATACTTACAAGCTATGACCAGTCTGTAGAATGACTTCAGGAGCCATCCAATAAGGCGTTCCCTTCATAGATTTGGCACCATTTACAGTAGCCTAGAAGCATAACAATCACAAAGTTTTAGAGTACTGAAGAGAGAGGCAACATATTGAAATATGATTGAAGAGAAAGAGAAGCACAATCATACTAGCTCTACAACTTTCTTGGAAGCACCAAAATCTGCGAGCCTGATGCACCCTTTGTTATCAACCAAAATATTTGCCCCCTAAGAGAATGTGACAAGAGTTATAGAGGAATTTTGAGCAACCACAAGCACATTCACATGCTGGAAAGAGGAAAAGTACCTTAATATCTCTATGCATAATCCCATTGTTGTGAAGATACTCCAAACCCAGCAACAGCTGCTTTGTGTACATTATTATCACCTATTCAAAAAGGTTAAGATACAATATTAATAGCCTGGAAAGCTCAAACACAAAGTTAAAGATATAGTCAAGACTTACTGGCTCAGGAAAAGATCCAAACTTCTCCAACAAAGATGATATTGATCCACCAGGAACAAACTCCATCAAAATGTTCAACGAATCACTCTCTCTTACAGTACCCAAGTATCTCTGAAAAAAAACAAGATAATAAGAAGAATGCATGCGGAACAGACATTAACCTTATGAGAAATAGCAGAATGGATTCGCCAACTCACAACAATGTTTGGATGTGAAAGATTCTTAAGAAGTTGTACTTCTTCCTCAAGCTCTCGGATGTGACCCTAAAACAAGGATTCAAGAGTATGAAAGACCAACAAATAGTTCCTCAAACACTTACGGAAACCAAAAATTGCTACCAAATTGGAAACAGATTTATCGAAAAATGCAAAATTTAAAAGATTGAGCATTAACTCACCTGAGTCTTCTCCTTTGAAGCACTGCTTGGAGCGATTAAAACCTATTATCCAAAAACAATCACGAATCAACAGAGGAAGTCATAAATCAATAGCAATTGAAGGTAACCAGAACTAAGAATTTCAAAATCAACCTGTTTAATTGCAAGAAGCTCGCCGGAATCGAGATTCATTCCCATGTAAACCCTCCCAAAAGCACCGCAACCGATTAATTCCCCTTTCCTCCACCGAATCGACGGCGCTTCTTCTTTTCTAGGAGCAGGAAGGCCTGGAGGCGGCTTAGTAAAGAGGCCTATACGAGAGCTACGGATACTAGAGTTAATCTTCCCGACGAATCCGCTAAGACCTCCGCCGCTACTACCATCGTCTCCGGCAAAAGACGACCGAAAAACCAAGGATCGGCGAACCGATCCGAGAATATCCTGCATTAGGTAAGCCGACGGTGAATGTGCAGAGAGATCAGTGAAGATTACTCATGGCTGCCTTCGGCTTCGTGGATTTAGGAAATTTCGAGGAGGGAAAGAGAAAACGCGATCTGTTTTCAAAATTAAAGGTTAGTTTTTGTGATTTTCGATTCTAAATATTTTACCAATTTATTAATGGGCCTTCTTATTGGGCTTTTCCGTTGGAGCGCATAAAGTACTTCGCACGTGTCAAATACCCAGGTTTTATGTCGGTCGTTGAATAATCTTGTTGTCGTCTTTCTCCACCTAGCTCACCGACAAAATATTAAAATACGTACAAGCATAAAACTAATAAGCCTCGCTCCATTAGGTCTAATAAAACAACAGAAATTCATATTTTAGAGTTTTGGTAACCGGGAAAATCAGGAATAATTTGAAAAACGATTATAATAACCATCTTTAACAAAATTTATTCTTGATAGTCTAAAGGAAAGAGAGTTTTGTGACAAACTCATGAAAACATTTGACATCTCAAAAGAGGAAGAAACCAAAGGAAAACATGAAAATGATCAAATAACTAACGAGACCAACACTAAAGGTGAAACCACTAGACTCCTGTTTTGTAGGTGTAGCTGTAGAATAGCTTCCTTCTGGTGTGTTGGTAGTGAGAACCACTACGATCCAATCATCTTCTTTACCAATACCAATCCCTGTAAACTTTGAATCGTTCAAACTCATTGAGTACTGCGACTTGGTGAAGTTTGTGAGGACGAGGCTTGATTCTAAACGAGGAACACATGCAGGCATAATCGAGCCGTCTCTAGTGTCAGAGACGTTTAAGTGGCATTTGGCTAGAATCTGAGGGTAGTTTGCGAACTGTGGCTCTGTTCCAGGTACTGTGGCTGAGCCAGTGTCGTTAGTGCAAGGTTTGTTTTTGAATTGGTCTGCGATTTCGTCAGCTAGACATTCTGCGTTTTCGTTCTTGCTCAAGGTTGTTAGATTCTGTGTTGTTCTGTAGCTGTTGATGCCTGTGAGAAGAATGTCCTCTTCATCTGCAACCCAAAAAAACTCTGATTCAAACTCTATATAATTTGCAGGAGCATATTCACAATCGCTAATTAAAGTAAACTCTTGTTCTTTATTTGTTATCAAGAGAAGGAAAGCAATTAATACACTTGAGAAACAATTAACCTTTTTGAAACATGTTTTAACTTTTTCAAGATTGAGATCTATGCAAGAACTTTTAAATGAAGTGAACAAATCCTAAGAGATTTCAGACCAGATCTAAAGATCCTGAATAAACACTTTCATTAGAGATGAAAAGAGAGTTTACTAGAACAAGAAAATAATGGAACAAAGAGACAAAGAGAGGAATTTACCGGTGTCGCTAAGAACGGGGCGATTGAGGAAGAGGAGGATGTAGAGAAAGAGAAGAAGTGGAAGCTTGTGAATCGCCATTGAAACAGGTTTCTAGAGTTCTCAAATGATATTTTTTTTGGTGATTGGCTTATATTTATTGATAAAGGAGAGTGAGAGAAATGGTTACTTAGCTTTTACTCTTAAAGAGTTATTTGATTCTGTTCTGCTTTTCTTGTCAGCTCGATTTTGACGTTGTGCCGACAATTTAAGGCATTTTTAACTAATTCGCTTGGTCCCCTCTCATCCTATACGGCATCGTTTCTAACATATGGAGAGGACAAGAACAAGCCAAAGCCATTGTGTACAAGAACTAGAACAAGAAGCCACTGCAAAAGGCAATTATTGAAACAAAAAAAAAAAAGGAAATTATTGACCAAGTTTTTCTTTCATGTTAAAGAGATCTTCAATTTGGATAAACCAATGTGATCCGATTTGGAAAACCGAAACAAAACGTAATTTTGTTTTAAAAACTTCATCATTTCCATATCACAAAATTAAAATGTTAAGGAAACCAAAAATGGTGAGGGGTACATCAGAATTTGAAAGCACAGAGAAATTAACTTGCAAAACAGAAAGCTGAAATTTGAAACTGAGAGAAGTTCTTGAAAACTCAATGACTAATTGATTTGTTATTACAAAACATCTACTGTAAGTACCAAGATGTGATCACAATACCACAAACCAAATCAAACGAAAAACAATTCAAGTGTCAAAAAGTCACTCACTCCATAACTGCGACTCCACCTACAGCTTTGATCTTTGCTATGATTTCATTAGCTTCTTCCTTTGTCACACCTTGTTTAAGAATAGCGGGGACTTTCTCCACAAGCTCTTTCGCCTCCTTCAGACCCAAACTCGTGAACGTTCTCACTTCTTTTATCACTTTGATCTTATCAGATGCATTAAACTTCTCCAACTTCACATCGAAAGCCGTCTTCTCCTTCTTCTCCTCAACTTTCCCAGCTCCAGTATCTTGTTTTGCACCAATGCCATCCGATGAAATCATCTGTTGTTTTGGAAGCCTCAGGTGTTCATTGAGTGCAGGACCAATCTGTTTCCGTTCTTCTGGAGATAATGCAGCTATACACTCAGCTAACTCCATGATTTTGTTTGAAGGCTGGGGTCTAGGACCATAGGGATCATAAACTGACGGGTATTTGTATTTCTTGGGTTTAGCTTTCGAGACAGAATCTTGCTGCAAGAAACGAACTTGCACAGACCAGATAACTTCCGGTTGACATTGGCGAGAACGAACGTTTCTGACAAGTGAAATAAGCTTCATGACTAAATTCCTCTGCTACCATACACAAACATCAACCCAAGATCATTTCATGTGACCACTGCAACAGTAAAAACTCTCCTGTGTAACAGAAAGACAATAACTTTAGCTTGCGAATTATTAAACATTGTTATTTGTTCAAAGCAAAGAGATCAAGATCTCAGAATAAGACTGATTATCAAGAAATTAGTACTTAAAGTCAATAATAATTTCAAAGGTTTCTTCTTTGCAGATCAAATGAACAAATCAAAATTTCAGTGAAGCAAAATGGTGAATAAGAAAGGATGATTCATCAGATCGATTTCAGCGTCAATAGAACTACGAGCCCCAAAATTAATTCTATGTATCAGATTCGATAGTCTAGAAGAAGAAGAAGCTGCTTACAATCTCTAAAACATAGCAAGTTCGCGAGTTATCACAGTTCCGAAATAAAAAAATGGGATCCATGAAGAGAGATATAGCTTACCTCCGGCGGCGGGAACGGCAAGCTTCGCCGGCTTTGAATTGTTGTTGATGATGCAGTAGTGAGAGACGGAGATGAGTGATAGGGTTTTGGGTAAAAAACATTCCTCTCTTTGGGTTCCAAATTACTTTTGTGTATGGGCTTAAAGCCCAATAAGGATCTCATCAACAAATTTTCCAAAAGTATTGCTATTTTTTTTTTTTTGACAGCAAAGTATTGCTATTTTTTATAGAGTGCAATTACTATTAATTACTCCCTCTGTTTCAAAATATAGGATATTTTGCCTTAAAAGCACAAAGTTTAATGAACTAATTAATTCTTTTAGTTTTTATATATTCAAGATAATTTGACCAATGATATGATTTACTACAGAATCTACATAGTCACAAAACTATACAAATTTAATTTTTTTGCATATAAACTTGAATTTTTTTTTCCAAAACATCTTATATTGTGAAACAAAATAAAATGGCTAAAACATCATATAATATGAAACAAAATAAAATGGCTAAAACATCATATAATATGAAACAGAGGGAATATCTTAATACAGCAGTTATATGATCAGTGATCACATTAGTGCTTGAACTAGATGACAATTTGATTTAGGGTGATTTGAGCTTAGGCCAACCTTTTTTGTTGACAATGGCGACAGGAAAAGTTCCTGACAAGTGGAATATTCCTCTGACTCGACTAATAAAAACATCAACTTTCATTTCATGTAACCAAAACATTACAAGAAATAAAAACAATAGATACAATAAAGAGAAAGAGATGAGTCAAGAGATAGGGTTTAGGGTGATTGATTTGTTCTACTATTATTACATAACATCTACTACGTACGTAGCTACTGTAGTCACAAGACAAAGTCAAATCAAACATACACAATTAGAAATAAAACAAAGTTAGTTGCTCATGATCACTCCATTGGCTCCATAAAGAGCAACTCCACCGGCAGCTTGGATCTTGGCAATGATTTCATTAGCTTCTTCCTTTTTGACATCTTCTTTAATGAGGGAGTAGGGGACGCTCTGCACACATTTTACCGATGATTGCAGACCCAACTCGGCCGGCCAAACTTTTGATCATTATGTAAAACTTTTGATCATTATGTAAATTTACTATCAAAACTAAAAAAAAAAAGCTTTCAAAAATCAAATTTAAAAATTTGAATTAAAAACATGAATACGAAACTACATAATGATGAAAAAACAAATTGGATTTGTAGAATCTCTAACGATCAAACGAATAACGGAATCCAAAATCCAGTTAGTTTTCATATATCGTTATGTAAATTTGGTATCAAAACAAAAAAAAAAAAACTTTTAAAAATTCTAATTTAAAAAACAAAAATCACTTTTAAAAATTGGAATTAAAAACTTGAATATTAAATCTACATAATGATGAGAAAACAAATTGAATTTGTGGAATCTCTAACGATCAAACGAATGACGGGATCCAAAATTCATATATCATTATGTAAATTTAGTATCAAAACTAAAAAAAAACTTTTAAAAATCCGAAAGAAAAACATAAATCACTCTTAAAAATTGGAATTAAACACATGGATACTAAATCTACATAATGATGAGAAACAAATTGAATTTGTAGATCACTAAC